CGTAACGAGCTGCACGAGTTGCGGGTTGCTAGTTGGATACAAACCAAATAAAAGATACAAGACCATATGCAAAATACCAGACATGCCAAAGTGGGACGCCCTCTAATTGATTACATTGTTCCAGCTGGCAACTAATCCCCGAAAGACTTTAAGCCTCTTTCTTGGAGCTGGGACTCCACTGACTGACTCGATTGGCAATGACATTGTTTATTAAACATTTCAACTTCAGACACAATATATAAATAAATGATTTTAATTATTATTCTTTCACTATTCGGTGCGAATTGGGCAGCCAGCCCAGTTCAGCCAATGAGATGATCTCATTTTTCGATCGAAAAACTGAAAATTTTCTGTTTCTGTTTATTGCATGCATAATAAATGGTCTCTAGTAGTCTGGAGAGCACCGACACCATGTGCCATATACATCCAGGGTGGGATGAGATCGATGGTAACCACACCATCTATCCATGCCCATGTGTCGGCTGGCGGATCACTGGAATATACCAGAAAAGCGATCAGCTTAATTGCGTTAATTTGCAATAGAGAGCCCTAAGAGGGAGTTTATTGTCTAAATTATAGTTTCAAGTCGCCACATCGCATAAATAGACAAGAATTGATGCTGGTACTGGAAAAATACTTTGTCATAATCATTTAAATGCTAGGGATAGCGATAGTTATCACTAAAAGCTATTTGATCTTCTACTTGGCGATGGGCTATCTTCGATAGTTTCATCGATATATCGGAAATAGTTAGACAGTTATCAGTAATTGTTGAAGGTTCGCCTAGAAAAGATACAGTTGTTGGCGATGGACAAACTTCGATACTTAAGGTACTTAATCACGACTTTTATCGATATGTCGTTACATATACATAGTTATCAGTAACAGGATCAGATTCAATCAGGAGGATTGAATCAGTCCAAAAGCAGTTTCTGCTATTTGCGTTAAAAGGCTTAAACTGGGATACTGCCACTTCCCTCCCGTCGTATAATTGCCGGTTAAAATTACTAAACCTACCTCCTTTAAAAGAGCGCCGTACTTGTGCTGGGGTTATGCTGCTTCATGTGCTTATTCTTGGACAGGTTGACTCACAAGTACTTCTTGAAAAATTATTCTTTTCTGTGCCTAATAGAGTAACTAGATCATTCCGACCCCTTTGGTTACCAATTTATAGATCTAATTTTGCGGAACACGATCCATTCCGCGTTATTTGTAAAAATTATAACTCGTTATCCCATTTAATGTCCCCTGAACTATCCCTAGTTGTAATTAAATCCAAAATTATGGAATATCTTTTAACTTAATTTATCCTTACTCTTAGTTATAATAATATAGAAATAACAGTTCATTGTTAATAATAATAATAAATAACGGTTATAGGTTCTACTTGAAAAGCTGCAGTTAAGCATAGACAGCGATGGACAAACTTCGATACTTAATCACTACTATTATCGATATATCGTTTAAAGTTAGTTATAAATATCTATTGTAGGTTTTACTAGAGAAGGTACTTTTGGCGATGGAGGCTTTTATCGATATATCGTTAAAAGTTAGATAGTTATCAGTAACTGTTACAGGTTCTACTAGAAAGGGTACTGTAATTTTACTTGGCGATGGACCAACTACGATATTTTAATCCCTTAAGCACAATTCATACCGATATAATATCGTTACAAGTTAGATAGTTATAAGTAAATATCATAGGTTCTATTAGAGATGATACTGTTGGCGATGGACCAACTTCGATACTTTGACAATACGACTTTTATCGATATATCGTGCTTAAGCTTACATTGAAAGAGTTCCTATAGCAACAAGCATCTGTAGAAGTCTTTTATCTTAAGTTTCAAGTGTATCTGATCACTAAACTACCCATTTTCTGTTTAAATAATCACTTCAAACCACATAAAATCGCACAAACCAATAACTTATAATTAAAGAACCACAATATTACCTTAAAAACAAAAAACCAACTCTCCCAATAAATCACAAAAACAAGGGAATATCTTTTATTACAATTACAGTCTCAAAATAAAGCTACGCCCCATTTTCCCATCATCAGCCGGACCTTTAGATCATCCCCATTGGGGGATCCCCCTCGCAACTTTTAATTTTTTGTAGCATTTTATGGACCACCCTTGACCCAAAACGCAACATGCATGTCCATTTGGCATATCTTTTAATTAAAACAAAACCTCAAAGATATTTGCAACACGCATGTGCCCCATTGTAACCGCAATCTCCATTCCAAATGTTGCATGCAAATGAAACCGAAGAGTGGCCAGAAGGCCGGGGCTGGGAGATCTGCTTCGGCTTCGGCTTCTGCTTCTACTGCTTCACCTACTAAAGTCCACTCAGTAAGTACTCATTAAGTAGTCGGAAAACGTTAGCCCATCCTCCCGCTAGAGAAGGCCCCTCCACCCGCTTGTCGGGAAATTAATAGACTCTCCACTCTCCACTCGCTTAATTATCACAAAAGAGACCAAAAGCATAACATTTTCAAATGGGCAAGTGCTTTCATCCCACAATGAATGACCGGGCGGATAGTTTTCCCCCCGTTTTCCACGCCCCTGTACACAGTGCGTGTGTTTGCTTTATTAGATGATGATAACTGGCTAATGAGTTGAACTCTGCCAACATTGTTTATAGTAATGCAGTGAGAGAAATGTATAGTAATTACTAGAAAATATTTAAGAGACATAACTAAACTTAAAGAGCCATTTATGATGTAATGTTATGATGAAGAGCCCTATAATCTTTAGTTATTTGTTATTAAAATAAAATAAATATTTTTTCAAGTTTATTTAATTTGGAGTGTCGAGTGTCCAGTCACAATAACAACTACCAAAACCTTACCAAGAAAGCTGCCCGCACATTTTCAAGAACATCTTTGAGATCTTGAGACTGGTGGCTCGTCTTGAGATACTCTTTCCCACCAAGAATACGAAAGATACGAAGATAGGAAGATCTTAAGAGAGAACCGGACTAGGTGCGTGTGGGTGGATAATTTAATAAGAACCTTTAAGAATTATATATTAAGATATGCTAATTGAAAGATTTGACAAGTAAGTAAAAAAGACTAGAAATAAATAATAAACTAAGGAGTTAAGATCTCCAAAATTTAACTATTTAGTATCTTTTATTAACCCTCTTCTGATTATATTTAAGTTTGTATATATTTCTATAGCCTCTATAAGCATAAACCTCCCTAGAACCAAATTTTAAAGATTTATAACCCCTTTGTTTATATTCAAAAAAATTGTTTAGTTTACAATATTTCATCTAAACAATAAACATAATTAAGGGGGTACTGACATACATAATTATGAAAAAAATAACAAAAACAGGCTAAAGATAATATATCTCTCACGATATCCATAAAAATAAACTCAAAAAAAGCCAACTTAGCAAAAAAATCTAGAAAGAGTATCCCCGGATTCGTTGACTCCCCAAACATGGTTCTTGTTATTTTTAGTTTTGTTTTCTATTTAAATGTTTTTAGCGAAGGTGAGCCACAGCGTGCAAAAAAAAAACGTATAATTGGAGAGCCCACGAATCTTCTGGTCAAGCCAACCACCGACCTTAGAGGCCAAGAAGCCCCCAAAAAAAAAATAAAACGGTTAAAGATAACTGCGCTTTATTTGCGACCAGCTATAGATACATATATACATATATATCTTTCTGTGGGGCATGATCGCATGCAAAACAAAGTCAGGTACGAGACTATTGAGATATTTTTCATATTTATTCCGAATGCCACACCAGGCCTGGTAATTAATTTTCCAAATACTTTTATTTGCCTATGGATTTGGTGGTTTAATCCGTAGGGAGACCCAAATAAATGATCGCCACTTGCACTTAACATTGAATTCGAGTCACTGGTTATCGGGGCTGTAGTGGCACTACACTATTAGTTATCAGTTATCAGTTATCGGCTATCAGCAAGGGAACTTAAGCGATAAAGGCCCAAAAAAACAAACAGAAACACGGTGGGAAACACAAGTAGAAGTATGGGATCTGGCCACTGACTCATCCAATTGGCCATTATCTAATACCCCGCCAGATAACTGGGCTCTTTTATGTACGGAAATTCCAGGCCATAATTGCACTAAGGGTGGTATAGACATATAGGTGCTATAGCCCTGCCTATCGATTATTTTGGGACGCGACTGTGTCGATTAGTGTCCACAGGTAGGTAGCCAGGAGGCAGGAGTGTTGCAAAAAGGGGTTGCAAAAACCAGTAAGACCGACTTGTCAGCCTGCAGCTGCCCAAGGTGCAAGGACAAGGGGACGAGAATGTGACTCAACCAATGTTGACTCAACAGCCAAGGAAATAGGAAGGAATATGAGGAGTTTATGGAGGAAATTCAGCCAAAAAATAAAGATCTGCACAGGGAGAAATTTTCTATAACTTCTGATAGCTAAAAATAAATATCTCACATAATAAATAAGGAATGTAGGGAGATACTTCCCCTCCATCCATCCTGATAAAATATAGAACACTAGAAGATACTACCCTGACATGAAAATCTTAAGCCCCAATGCCACTCCCGATAAGAATTCTTCTGATATTCAGAAGACCTCAAGACCGAGACTCGTAAAAAAAAATGTGTTAATAAATTTTATGACGACATTCTGTAAAAAATCATATTAAAGCATAAAAAATCAAGCCTTTTATAAAATTTGGGTTTATTTTTGATGGGAGATCCATTTTGTAGGGGTTTATGGGGATAACACCTAAAACCTGAATGATTAATTATCACAAAGAACGAAGAATTCTTCTAGAAGAAAGGGGAAATATAAGAAAGTTATTCAAGAAGTAGGGAAGTACTTCCCTTCAAGACCCTCCTTGAAATCCAACTAGATTTAGACCCACTTTGTTTATAATCCTATTGGTTATATCCCCCAGGGCCTCAAGTAGGTGCCTACTGATTAGATTTCTTTGTCTTGGGCCCTTCCATCCACACAAAAATTAGAAAACAAAGAAGCCTGTTACTCACCTCTCATCACCAAAGTCAACTGGCAGCCTCTTCAGCTCGGACATGTCCAGTTCCAGACGCAGATTGGACACCTCGCATAGCAAACGATCCCGCTCGATGCTCAGCTCCTTGATCTTGGCATGGAGGGTATTGTTCTCCCGCAGCAGCTCATCCACGCTGTAGGGGATCGGCGCATGCAGGGGCCGGGGCATGGCCATGGGCAGGGAGGCAGCACCGCCGGGATGATCCACAAACATCATGGAGCTGGCCATCAGCAGGGACTGGGTGGTCTGGTGGAGCATCAGCTCCTGATCGGTATCGGTCCGATCGATGGTGTTGGGCTCCTCGGCCATCTGGCGTTGTGGGTGATCCAACTTTTGTTTATTTTTTTTTTTCTGATTCTCCGCCGGACTGTTGCACTTTTCACGGCCTCAACATTGTCGCGAGCCACGCACACGCACAGGGGTACACCTCCAGCTCGGTGGAGGAGGATGAGGTCGTGGGGGAGAAGGTGTTGGAGTGTAAAATGGAGTGGACGGAGGGAGGCGGAGCACAGAAGACGAAACAGGCAGAACAACTTTGAAACGACGCCCGAGATGCAGATTCGATGCCTCGATTTAAACTTCACCCGCACAGCTGTGACCTTGCCACCAAATATCTCGGATTCCCCGGACGAATATCTTCGACTCCCGACACACTGCACAAATAAATCGCGAGCAACAATTGGATGCGGGCTAATACGAGTTTTTAATTTTCAATTCACGCGCGACGACAGCACGACGCACGCTCCTCTTTCGACGGTTGATATAAGTGTGACCAGACTAAAATCGCTCCTCGCCGTGGGGGGATTCTCTGGCGGCCAACAGTGACGTTATCTTAGCTGTTTTCCCGTTAAACCTAGCTATATTTTAAGGCCAGAAATTATTATTTCCGCTAGTTTTTAAACTTAGTTTGCTATTCTTTACTTCGGTATATTTTTAAAATTTAAATGTTACAAATTAAATTCAATAAAGTGACAGCGCAATGACACAAAGTCAGACTTATTATTATGCCTATAGTTTTTTTTCGACGAAAATATCGCTGAATCTGTATAGTTGATACTAAATTCAGAAAATTCTTACGAAAATTCTTATTTTAAAAGCTTATATTTGTTATCATTTGTGAAATATAAATAAATATTTGTTGTATTTCCATTTGGGCTCCTAGTTGGTTAATAATTGATGATCGATAGTTGGCAACACTAGCTACCAATCATGACCAACCAATTTTTTCTCTCTACACAGCGAGAAATTTAACATTATAATACTATTTTGGTTGTATTTATCTACATCCAAATAATCTACATCCATAAATCAACATCCAAATCTGGAATAAAAATATTTTTTAGATTTTTTTTAAATTTTCTGAGGGGTCCCCTTCAAAAATATACAAAAATGCATGGAGCCACACTTTGCCCCACAGAGATGGCTATATCTTTGGCAATATCCATCCGATTCTTGAGCGGAGTACCTCAAACGAATCGTTGATCAATTCTCCATAAACCTGCATCAAAATCTGGACAAAAAATATTTTTGAGATATTTTTCAAATTTTCTGAGGGGTCCCCCTTAAAAATTCACAAAAATGCATAGAGCCACACTTTGGCCCACAGAGATGGCTATATCTTTGGCAATATCCATCCGATTCTTGAGCGAAGTGCGTCAAACGATTCGTTGATCAATTCTCCATAATTCTGCATCAAAATCTGGAATAAAAATATTTTTAAGATTTTTTTTAAATTTTCTGAGTGGTCCCCTTCAAAAATTCACAAAAATGCATGGAGCCACACTTTTGCCCACAGAGATGGCTATATCTTTGGCAATATCCATCCGATTCTTGAGCGAAGTACCCCAAACGAATCGTAGATCAATTCTCCATAATTCTGCATCAAAATCTGGAATAAAAATATTTTTTAGATTTTTTTTAAATTTTCTGAGGGGTCCCCTTAAAAATTCACAAAAATGCATAGAGCCACACTTTGGCCCACAGAGATGGCTATATCTTTGGCATTATCTATCCGATTCTTTAGCCAAGTACCTCAAACGATTCGTAGATCGATTCTACACAATTCTGCATCAAAATCTGAAATAAAAATATTTTTGAGATTTTTTTCAAATTTTCTGAGGGGTCCCCTTCAAAAATTCACAAAAATGCATGGAGCCACACTTTGGCCCACAGAGATGGCTATATCTTTGGGAATATCCATCCGATTCTTGAGCGAAGTACCTCAAACAAATCGTTGATCAATTCTCCATAATCTGCATCAAAATCTATAAATGTGGGGCTTATCTGGATAGTGTTACCATCCTAAAACCATAATGAAATCATATCGCTCCCCTTTTAAAAGATGGTGCCATTTTGACGCCAAAATGTTAAAATTTAAAATAATTTTATTGTCGTTTACATTTAAAAAATATCAATAAAGCAGCTTTTTTATTTTATTGTTTATATTTTAAAATAATTTATTTAATTAGGGCTGAACTGTATTTTATTTTAAAGAATTATAATAATACATTCCTGGTGGATCTAGTTCCAAAGTTCAAAAAAGAATCAAAACAAATCCAATCCCAAAACAAACAAACAAAAGCCGGTAACTGGGCACAAATATGTGTAGCATTGTTTTGATCACAGGACCTCCTGGTAATAAACAAAATCAAAAACAAAAAAACTATAAAATGTAAAATATTAAAATTTTCAGGAGTGGGAAAGACCACATTGGTCCACAAGATATGGTCGAAGCTACGTGAGAAAAACGTGACCTCTCGAGGATTCTACACGGAGGAAGTTAGGGGAGAGAATGGGCAGAGAATAGGATTCGATGTGGTCACCCTGGCGGGAAAACGAGGAATCCTCTCACGTGAAAATCCAGCAGACCACACAAAACGCCCACAAGTGGGAAAATATTCCGTTTACGTCCAGGATTTTGAGGCTCTTGCGTTACCATTGCTGATCCCCAAAGCTCCAGGATCAGATGGGGAACTCCTTATAATCGATGAAGTGGGAAAAATGGAGCTATTTAGCAAGCGGTTCGAGTCGGCCGTCAGGGATCTGCTCCAGCAGAAGACTCCGCTAGTGATCACCATACCCCAAAAGGGCAGCTTGCCTTTGGTGGAGCAGCTCAAGAAATGTCCAGGTGCCATTCTCCGTAACGTGACCAAGGCGAACCGAGAGGCACTAGTCAAGGAAATCACAGACCTCATTGAAAAGTCACTGATTGTAACAAAATAAACTTGTTGGTCTTTCTTTTATTAGTATCTAGGTTTAGCATGTGACTCCTCCACGTACTTTGGCAGCTCCTTCTTAACTTTAAGGACACACACTGCTACGTTTCCGCAGGAGTGTTAGCTACTTGATTGAGGGCAGGCGGCGGCATGGATGTGTTCGAAGACTGGGTCGAGGACTCGCTCTTGCGGGTGGAACGCTTCCGTACCCTCTTCGTTTCCTTGGCCCAGTCCATTTCGTTGTAGTGCTGCTCGGAGGCGCGCCAATGGAGCTCCTGCCGCTGCACCAGTTCCGGATGCTTCTGCTCGAACTCCTTGTCCGGTGGCAGTAGCAGCTCCCAGCGTTTCGTGGCATTCACCCGGGCCACCGTCCTCAGAACGTCTAGCGTTTCCGCCGGTGGCAACTGGGTGGCGGCCATCACCTGGGCGCGGTACAGGCAGGCGGTGCGAGAGAATCGGAATAACTGAAATATATATATAGTATTACATTCAAGAATAATCTAAATAAATATCAAGGCTCACAATGTAATCCCTGGCACGTATCATCTGCTCTGCGGCTACGCCGTTTGCATGGGAGAGCATTTTCTCGGGAAAGACCACTTCGGAGCGGGGCACCCAGTTGCCGTGCAGCAGAATGGCCACCTGGGGCAGCAAGGCCAACACCTTGTCTGCCGCCACATGCGGATCCACGTGCTCGACCAGCACCTCGAGGAGATCCCCGAACGAAAGCATTTTAGCATCTCGGAGGAGTACCCTCAGTTGCTCTAGCAACGGCATAGTCCTCAACATGGCCTTATTATATACAGGAAGTACTTGAGCAGCTGCAGCAGCCGGAGCGGCAGCCTCCACTGGCTGCACATGCTCATCGTAGGGCAACAGCCGCTTGAGATAGTCCCCGGCGTTGAGAGCCAACGCCTGGTTAGACTGGTGACTGGTGGCGAATAGCTTCTGGCGCTCCAGCTCGGCAGTGGGGGTGCCCCTTGGATGCCAATACGCCTCGCACCAGGGTTCATCCGCAATCCGCTGCACGAAGCCATCGTAAGTGCCTGCTCTCTGCTCCTTGGCATTGCTTTTGGTGTTACCGCGGGCGAACTTAACGGTGACCTGCTGAAGCACCTCCTCTTCCTCCGGGTCCTCGGCTTGTGCCTTTTGTTCCGCCTTCTTGCGCTTGTCCTCCTTGTCGAAGTGACTGAGCGCCGGACGCAGTTGAACGATACTGGTCAATGGGGATAGGTGCACCTCGCGGTCCGTGTAGATGCCCACAATGTACTTGGTCACGTCCGTGAGGGAGCGGCTGCTGGTGAAGGCCTGCTTGTCCATGATGCCGCGCTTGTAGGTGGGCCTCTCCACGCCTTTGGGCGGAGCTGCTCCATAGGTGTTTTTTCCATCGGCGGCCTGGGCAAACTGCTCGCCCTTGAAGCGATCGTAGTGGCCCGACTCTGTGTCCAGTCCGAAATCCACCTTCACCTCCTGGGCGAATGGTTTGACGCAGCAGTTCACAACCACGGAGTCATCGTGGTTCGCCAGCTCTGTTTTCGTCGGATATTGGAAGAGATACAAGCTGTCCTGGAGGTTCTTCGAGAGGAAGACAGGAATCTGTGGGTGGATAAACGGTTATTTCTTTTTCTAAGTGTGCCTTTTAAGTTTGCGAAAAACCTCCTCCACGATGGGATCCTCCTCGTCATCCATAGTTTGTTCAAAATTCTAATGCTTTTCCTTTCAGTTGGAGCACGCCTAACGTGGAGCAGTGTTATTAAGTGGTTTTTGAATATCGGATCTAGTTGGTGTTTCCCACCTCTAGTATTTGGCGCCACCTATGGAGGGTTAACGGAAGCTCGAACATATGGTGTAGTGTTGGTAATTGTGTTCGGTTTTCCAACAGGTCATCAGCTGGGCCATTAAAGGGTCAATATATAAAATAGGCAACAAAAATATCCATTTCTTTAATTAATAATATAAATATTATCAATGATCTGTATCTTTTAAAACAATGGTTGTTGTATATGTATTTATAATTGTTTTTCTAAGAAACTTTTAAAGTTCTGAAAGTGTGTAGGGTATGTGATTATTTTAAGGATTTCATTTTAAAGAAAATTATTTTTGAATTTCATTTAAAAATTCACACTTGTAGCCCACTGTGCAAAGTCAAATGCAAAATCAATCGGCTAATGGCCGATATTTATTGCCCTGTGCCCACGCACAGATGAGAATGTGACCGTACTCCGTAGGGGGCTACCCGGGCCTCCGCTCAACGATCGCAACATTTTCAATTTACTTAGTATAAGTACTTAGTATAAGTATATATATGTAGGGCAGAGGCATACATAACTCGATCATGTTCACGGTCACTTCAGAGATTTACAGCGAGACGAACTACCAGCCGACCAAGAGCGCGAGCGATGGCAGTAAGGTGATATCCAAGTTCCGTTTCCGTTATCCGGAGGAGAAGCTGGAGAGGATTACCGCGGACAGGGATGGAGACCTTGAAGTGCCAAGGCCACGACGTGGCGTAATCGAATTGGAACATTCCGAGGCCACAGAACTTCGTCTGGTGGGTCTTCAGGTGTGGCGGGGTGCCCTGCTCCTGGCGGATTACCTTTTCTTCAAGAGAACCGAGTTCTCCGGGAAGAATGTCATGGAACTGGGCGCCGGAGTTGGTCTAACCAGCATAGCAGCTGGCATACACAATCCTGGAAAAATCTTCTGCACAGACGTGGATCTAGGCTGCATCCTGAAGTTGATCCGCGGGAATGTCCAAAGGAACTCCAAGCTCTTCAGTGCCGACATATCAGTACTGGAGTTTGACTTTCTCACTCCGAAAGACCAGCAATCCCAGGAGCTTTTAACTGCCATCGATTCTAGCGATATAATCCTGGCCGCCGATGTCATATACGATGATACCCTTACCGATGCTTTTATTTCTGTCGTGGACTTCCTCCTGGAGAGGGGAAAGTCCAACGGACGACCCAAGACCATGTATGTGGCGTTGGAGAAACGATATGTGTTCACCCTGGAGGACTGTGAATCGGTGGCTCCCATGTACGAGTACCTACTCCGGCAAGTAGCCAACAAGCCCTGGAAGATAGAGCATCTTCCACTGGACTTTCCGCAGTATTTCGAGTATGATCGGTGTCCCCAGTTGGTCCTGATGGAGATTAAAGGACGTTAATGGATTTAAGTTGTCTGTTGTTGTATTAACCTAATGACCTTTTAGTTAATGTAATTAGTTAAATTATTAGAATTGCAAAAAAAGACAAAATATAAAAGGAATTGTTCCTTAAATCTGCATCAATACTTTCTCTTAAATATCCATACTTTCTCTTAATAATTCTCTTAAACTCTCTTAAACCCAAAGACGGCCATAGATATTCGAAAATTTAATAATAAAACTTGATCTTTAAGATACATCTGAATATCACTTAAATATGATTATAATTTTAAATAACCCCATTTAAGATTAGTCAACAATGTCCTCTTTATAAATGAATTACCCAATGGAATAAATACAACTAGACTAAGCCCTGAACCCGTTTAAAATCAGCATTAATAGTCATGGATCAGTGGATCAATGGATCAGAGATCCTGCATGGCCAGAATGATGTTCTCCAGAGCCTGGCGAGCATCCGTGGCCGGAAAGTGCTGGAGAACGGCCAGAGCAGCAGCCGTATGCTTCCGTTGCAGCTCCTTGGTCTTGTTCAGCGCTGGTCCTGCCAAGATTGCTTTATGGATCTTATCGTAGTCGATGTTGTCCACCGATTGCTTGCCCGCCTCCAGGTCGGCATACATTCCAGGATCGTGCTCCAGATGGAACAGAACGGGGGCGCTAACCAAACTGAATGTGGCATCCAGTGGCAGGGTGGGGCACTGGAAGGGTTCCGCGTCCAGGCAAGCCTGCCAGGCCAGAGCCAAGTGCTTTCCAAACCGATAAGCATGGCGCTGGAGCTCCTCACTCTGGCCGGCCAACTTCAGAGATCCCTGGCAGGATTTACCCAACAAGCTGCCGGCATTAAGTATATTCCTGCACTCCCATTCCTGCTCCGGATTCCCCAAGACCTGAGCAATGGGCATCGGAGACATCACATCGTGCTCGTTGAAGTCCACGCCCACGCTCAGAGATGGTCGCTGGAAGGTTCCTGGCTTGTAGGGCAGCGGGTTGTTCTGCTCATCCCGCTCGCCAATGAATTCCGACTCCGAGAAGTCACGCACCGCCGAAGAGATCAGCTCCACCACCTCTTGGTTGCGCAGATTCGCCAGCTCGGCACTGGAGTGGCCCAACAAGTAGTCCCCGGTGAGCAGACCGATCTTGTTGCCAAAGGACATGTCGTCGAAGGTGGCCACATCCTGGCCAGCCTGTGTTCCCGACTGCAGATTCACGACGCTCTGAAAGAGGATCAAGGAACTTTATTTTGGATATCCAAGACACGAAGGATAATCTTACATTGTGGACCAGATGGGAAATCCTGATCATCTCGGTAACCTCGGCCAGGGCTCGTTGCGAGTGAAGCACTCCAGCGCTCTTGTCCTGCTCCACGTCCGGCACACTGGGAGCATGTCCGGCCGCCTTTGAGACCAGAAGCACAATCAGTCCCCAGGCCTGCATCGTGTTCTTGCCATTGTAGAGCAGATGCCTGGAATATAGTTCATGAGAGGTTCACCAAATCTCAAACTAATCGAAAGTGAAAATCCAAACCGGTTTGGACTAACTTAGGCGACCCTATCCCACTTACTTGGCCGTTTTCATCAAGGGATGGGCGCTGCCCACCAACTTGCGCAAGTGCAACGCTACATTGGCGATCTCGTCGCTCAGCAGCCAACGCAGACTCAGGAAGGAGGTGGGATAGCCCACGATGCGCTCCGCCTCGCTGACAGCCCGATTCCAGTCGTGACGCGGCGGAGGAGTCACCTGCGGCGGCGTCACCTGTTTCCCAGTCACCGTCGACGTTGCCGTCCAGCGACCTTGTTGCGTTTGTTGTTGTTGCAAAGTGAAAGTTTTCAGCGCAGGCGCAACAGCATAGACACCATGGATCTCGCTGGTGATCCTTCCACGCACCTGTTGCATAATCCTCAGTCCACTGGCACGATACATATTTCTCGGTGTGGTTGCTCTTCGTTTCTCAGGTACAATGTGTGTTTCGTTAGATGCAATTATTTGCTATTAGTTGGTTCAAAATCGTTGTGCTCCGCTGAGTCGCTCGTCGAAAAGTGAAATCTTCAAGAGACGCGACCACCGTTTCTCAGCTCGTTATTGTTGTTGTTGCTGCTGCCTTCTTCTTCGGTGGCGTCCCACTTTTACAGTTGTTCGCTCACTGGAGGCCGCCAATCCAAGCGCTCGTTCTGTTTGTTTTTATTGCCCCACGCAGTGTCGGTGGGGTCGGCGAGCGTGGCAGAAACGAGCGGGGGGCGGCGGGCGTTGGAGCGGCCGCCTCGTATGGGAACAGGTTTTAGGGTTTTCGCACGGTGGCTCCTCTTTGTTATTGTCCATGGGAGACCGAAAACGGTCACACCTAGGGATGGACAAAAAAAAGCTGTTGCTGGCCATAGATTTTGATAACGGGAATTTATTATTTTCAAACTGATGCAATTTCTTAGATTTATAATTACTCTCTAAAAAGTACGTTAATGATTTTTCTTAGTATTTTAAATAGTAACTTTTCCTTAAGTATTGTATACTAAAAGTTATTTTTAATTATAAACATTTTAGGACGTGGACAAATTTTTGTGGACAAATTTTTAATAATATTAACAAAATTTCCTGTTTTAAGATTAGTTGCTAAATAATACCACATTTCTTATTGCAAAGCCCACGGAAATCAGGATTCTAAATAGATTTTAAAATAATAAAAAATAAACAAAATAAATTTAAAATTTCTTATGTCGAGAAGGACTGTGTGAAAGGATTATTTATTTTGATATATCTTAAAAGTTCCTAAAAGCCTCTCTTAGAACTTCAAATAATAAAAAATACATATCTATGCGATAATACCAAGCTGCGATAGTCGTGAGTCCAAGCTAAAACAGTTATAATTCAAAGAACGAAGCTTGGTCACATTGCGTTACCCGTCGACGGTCACACAACGGCAAGTTTTCCCCGATATTTGTTGCAAATTGTTACAGAAAATCGATCGCAGATTTTTCGGTGTGAGAATTAAATAGAGAAAGTGTTACAAAAATGTGAAACGCCGAGAAAATTATCGATAATAAACGAATTTTTGAAAAATAAACGCAAAACAAGCACGTAAAACCCAAAAAAAATTCGAAATGCAAGTGCGAACAAACGTGTGGGAGTGCGTGAAAGAAGAGCTGCAACAAATTAATATATATAAATAACAGTGCCAAGTGCCGTTGCTTTTGTAAATTGTTTTCGCGCTAAATTGCAAAGCGTTTAGGCCGTAAATTGCGTGTTTAAATATTTCCGCTGCAGCGGCTAATTATTTAATTACACCAGCGGTCGCTGGCCCCCGGCTTTGTGTGTGTGGCGGGGTGTGTGAGCGTGTGTGTGGGTGGACAGAAGAGAAAACGAAGGACCAGGGAGGACATTGAAAGGAAGACTTTTAAATTCGCAACAAACTCGAACGGTGGCTTTAATTTTTTTTTGGATTTTTCGGCTAAATTCAAAATCTGATGTGTACACACACATTACTGCCCAGAAATGGAGAAAACGGGGCGAAAAGAAAACTACGAAAGTGGTTGCTGTAGGTGCTTTCAATGTATGCGTGATGTGTATGTGTGTGTATGTGAGTGTGAGAGGAATGCTGCTGTCTATGTATCACGTTTCGCACGCTGACCGCGAATGTGTGAGTGTATGGCTGCTTAGTGTTGTATAGTGCATAAATTATGGAATCCAGAGTTTCTTCAGATTTTATTTGAGATTCAGATATTTTAGATATATCCCTTATTTGCTGGAACATAACCCAATCGATCTGGTCCCTCTCTCTGTTCCTGCTCCCAGCTCTCTGGTCTCTGCATCTTCCTTGTTCTCCCTCGCTCCCTCCTCTCTAGTTGCATCCCCAAAAGATGCACGAAGAGAGTGGGAGAGAGGCCGCAAACAGACGCCGCCAGGTTACCAATACCAGTGCAATACCAACACAACCGACAAATCTTCTTTTTTGCTTTTCGGCTTCTCTTCTCGCTACTCGCTCGCCGCAACTACAACTACATTCATGCATACAGCGCTATATAGCAGCGTATAGCAGCGACGGCCGATTCGATTCAAAGCTAGGCGAGCAAAATTTCCATTGTGCGCCCGCAGTCAGTCGCTTCGAAAATTTCTGACTCGTCATTCGTGTTGTGTGTTGTGTGCGAAAAAAAATAAAATGCACAAATCACCGAAAAACAACGGCCCATAATGAGTAATTCATTAAAATTAGTATATATATTTCTGATTGATCGGAAAATGTATATATATATTTAATTTATTTATTGAGTCCCAATCCGCTGGCTCTCTGCAGTGTTTTTGTGTGCCAGTGTTTGTGAGTGTTTCCAACAAACTTATTACTCATCTCTATTGCTGCTGCTGCTGCTGCTGCGCTGCACAAAAATTAATCGAATATCCGTTAAAAAATCGAACACCCACAAGTTCGAGAAATAGTGTCCGATGGAAATTAAATGGCGGCTGGCTGGGGGAAAAATTTGAATAAGCCCCCCAAAAAACGTAGCTATTTTATTTTTTTGTCTACATCGACGATTAACGAAAACCCAACGACTTTCATCGTCGTACGAAGGTGTATATGTGTGTGTGTGTGAGTGTATACTCGCTGCCCTGCTATTCAAAAAAAAAAGTCAACTTCTGAGACGCGCGCTCTCTCTCTCTGGATTCGTTTCTCCCGCTCTCTTTTTTGTCCACCCTTGTAATTGTCGAGTATCTGTGTGTCGCCTTGCGCGAGTGTGTGTGAGAGGGGGAGAGAACCTCAAGCAACGGTAGCAACAAATAAGCAGCAGCCGAATAAAAAAACAATAAGAAAATAATACTAAAAAAAAGAAACAATATTTTTATTTATAAAAATTAATAAATAAAAAATAAATCTTAAATAAAGTGCATCAAAATAATCTTATAGTTTTTATTTATTTCAACAGCAACATGAAAAATTTTAGAGTATGTGTGTTTCATTGCCAAAGCAACAACAACAACAACAACACCAACGGTTATGTTTAAATTCTCGCCATCGAGCAGAAGAAATACAAAATTATTAAAGTAAATAAATAATCAAACCAAAACAACAACAACAACACAACACGCCAATAGCCAATTACAACAAACAACAACATCTAACAACAACAACAACAGCAAATATAGTGCGAGAAGAAGCAGAGTTTCAATTTGTGTATCCGTGTGTCTCTCTGTCTCTCGTCCCCGTCGTCGTCTCTCTCTTCGTCTCGCGCGCGCGTTCGTGTGTGTGTGTGTTTGTGTCAGTTCTTCGTTTACGTATCTATATGTATGTGTAAGTGTGTGCAGCAGAATCAATAAAAAAAAAATAAAGAATCTGTAAAGAAAAATCAACCGCAAATGTGCAAAATACTAGATCCATAATAATAATAAAAAATAAAATAATAAAAAATAAATAATAATTCAAAAAATAACAAAAAAAAATAACAGAAAATAATAACAATAGCAAGTTAAGAAAAATGAGGAGCTGCTGTTGTGCGAATAAAACCAGAAAACAACAACTATGACGCATCAAAATCATCAGACAAACGGCGCAAGTTTGGAGGATTGCCATACAAACTTTTATGCGCTGGTAAGTGTTTTTTTTTTCAGTTTTTTTAAAGATCTAGGTCAGTGAGGATTTTTGGGAAGCGAGGGTGGTATTGTACTTAGTACTATCAGAGATCCGGGTACCGATCGGAAACGGAAGGGCATCTTATCGATTGGTAGCCGGCCAGTTAGGTGCCAGCTGTTTATCGTTATCGCTGCAGATGCTTTTCATAAAAGTTAACGGTAGTTTTTTTAAAATAAAATCAGAAAAATATGTCTTTAATATAAAATATTTAAATTCTTTCCTGGGGAATCTATCATTTAAAAGTATCTTTCAGATACAAGTTCCAAAGATCTGTCTTTGTGGCAAGTTTTCTGTTTTCCGTCCACTGTTTGGCGGCTGTTGCTCTTTGTAGTGAGTAGTAGTGTAGTGGCCCATAACAGGTTCTCCTTCTCATCGAGCAACTGGAAGATTGCGCTTGCTACTCCGGCTACTAGTTTGTTGGCCCCGCTAGTGAGTGTTGCTATTGTTTCTTTGCTTTTGGCATATTTCTTTAATGAATCTCAAGGCGGAAAGAGGAGCAAAGCGAAAGAGATGGTAAACGCCAAACGTAAAGCAGGCAAGAAGACAAGAAGCCGAAACGGCGGAACGGTGAGGAAAAGTCGGGAGAAATAGCCAAAGAAGATGACGACAATGCGTACAAGTCAACGTGCTCCATTTCCCCCTCTATCTCTCTCTTTTACAACTCTCTTTGTGTGTGTGTGGAGTAGTTGGAGGCGGAGGTAAAAGAGCCAAGAGGCCGACGCCAAAGAAACGCGACGAACGACGAAATAACGAAACAATAACAAACGCGCCAAACTTTCTCTGGGAGAGGCACGCGCGCACGAACAAACACAAACACCAGCAGAGCAACTAGCGCTATGTGGGAATGATAACAGCAGGAGTGTGAGAGCACGCTCTCTTTCTCAAACTTTAAGGATTGCAAAAAAAAAAAAAAGAGTGTGGGAAAGAGCCACACACATACATAGTTAGATAGAGAGATAGACAGTGGCCAGATACAAGATAGAAAAGGCAACCTACAAGATAGAGTTCGCCCAAAAATAAAAGCCAAAGCAGCGAGACGAAATGAGAGCGAAAATGAAAACAAGAAAAAAATGGCAAAAAAAAAAAAAAGAAAACCAAGAGCAAGAGCGGAAGAATGTGGAACATTTTTCTGTCGTCAAGACACGAGAGAGAGAGATAGAGACGGGGCGAACGAGACGAGACGAGACGAACGTCGAATGGCCGGTTTTGGGGGAATACCTTTGGGTGTGTGTTTGTGTAGGCGCTGTAGTTGTATGGGTGCGCGCGATGCGATGCGATGCGGTGTGAGGTGCAGTTATTTATTTTGGCTCCATCTCGTTTTGGCCCATTGAATGGCGCACCGCACTGCTTGATGGTGATGGCAAATAAGCAGTTATTTTTTAAGAATTAGAATGTTGGTTTTTTGAGGAGTTTTAGTTAAAATAATAGTATAACTAGGGTTTTAAATATTTTAACTTTTCTTAAGAGCTCTAGTTATTTAAAAATCTTATAGTTTCTGGTTACCTATATCTTTTATTTAATCTTTAATCTTCATATGCTTTGGTTTCGGGTTTCAAAAAAGCCCCCCCACACACTACAACTCGCAACGGAAGCCACCAATGACGACCCCAAAGAGCTGAAAAGCTAAAAAGCCAACAAGCCCAGTTAGTCAGTTACTCAGTTTTTTTTTTTGTTTTTATTTTTTTTTTATTATTTACTTTGCTGCCCCAAGTTTTTCTTGTCTGGTTGCAGCTCCTCTCCTCTTCTGCTTCTTCTTTTTTTGTGCTTTTGTTTTGAGTTGCGAGGCAGCGGAAGATTTCGAGCTTCGCTTTGGTCGTTTTTTTCGTAGAGCTACCAAGTGCAATGGGGGTATATTTGTAGTAGTGTGTGTGTGTGTGTTTTGCAGCATTTCGCAACACTGCTAAATTAGTAAAGTGATTTAGGGGCTTCAGATACTATTTAACATGAGTCTAATTATAATAATAGTTATTTAAATACATCTTAATATCTATATCTTTTAGTATTATATAGCTTATTCTTCAAGACCTACATATTACCATAATATTCTCTGCCTTAAAGGCTCTTGGGCCCTCTATCTTAGTCATTTATAAACCGTTAGTGTTGACCTAGACATTTCGTCATGGCTAAGCACACACCTGATAGTGGGTAGTTTTCGAAAGATAACAAAAGGTAGTTGGGGGCTCTTCAAAGGCTTGTATAGTTCAACTCCCCACTTAATTGGTATTATGTAAATAAAAATTAACCGTTATAATGGCATTAATAAATTATTTCTCTTCCGTTCTCTCTTACAGACTGATTTATGTGGAATAAAATGGAAAAAGTTCGTTAAGGGAGAGCGACCGAACGCTTCGAGCGATCCTTTAACGGACCCCATCCTGCGCTCTTATTCGCGATGCATCCAGGCGGATATGCTGTGCGTGTGGCGGCGTGTCCAGTCAACGAAGCAGGACAACACCGACCAGAATGCCTTATGCTTCGAGATCACCACCTCGACCAAGGTCCACCCGCCCCTCTCGCTGGCCGCCGCCAAGGAGCTGTGGATCTTCTGGTATGGCGAGGAACCCGATCTCAGCCAGTTGGTGGACGCTGAGCTTATAAGAGAAGCGGGTAAGTTAACGGTTATAATTATTTTTATTTATTTTTTTTTTTTAATTTTTTTATTAAATTGGGTCATTAAAACTAAATATTGCATTTAGAATTACCTGGTAGCTGGTAGCTAGTATCTGATTGAGATGCAACACGTTCTTCCGCGTTCTCGCTCTTTCTCTTCCTCACCCACACATCCACACACTTGCCAGCCCCAGCAGCGGTGATGAATTTAATAAAGCTTCAAGGCCGCATCCATCGGATTCGCATGCAATTTCCTCGCCATCCATCTCCACCGCGTTGTATCTGTATCTGCAGCTGGTGTATCTATGTATCTGTGTTTGTGTGTTAGAAGAGTATCTGTGTGAGAAAAGCCAAAACAAATACAAACAGAGAAGCACGCGAAATACAATTCGATTGCCGCAGATGATTATTATTATTATTATTATGGCTTTTGCTCTCCTTTCTCCGGCGTTGGCGTCGGCGTCACTCAACTCACATGTCAAAACCAACGTCAATCGTAGGCGGTATCTTCTCTGGCCCCCCCTCCCCACTAAAATAAGGAAAGAGGAAGCACCGCTGAAACGTCATCTTTCATTTGCAATGTTTTTTCGCTCTTCTAGTTATTCTCGCTCTCTCGATGTTTATGCAAAAACGAAGATGGGTGTTCGCTCACCTGTTCGCGTTTGCGTTTGCTCTCTTTACCTTTTACTCTCTCTCTCTCTCTCTCTAGCTGCGGGGGTTGCTCCAATACACAGGACGCCTTCGGCCTTCGGCAGCCGCCGCCGCCGACTCGTTTCTCTTATCAGCCATTGCGTGTGGCTACTATTTATTAAATATTCTTGTTGTTTCTTTTTTGTTAGTTTTTTTGTTTTTGTGCCCCATTATCTCTGACCACCAACTACGTACAATGTACGATTTTTAATTTCGGTTTTCCGTGCGAACTGCGCGGCAAATTCCATTACCCAACCGCAGGTTGTGTCGTAGATGTTCCCCAATGTCAGTAATCTACAGTGGAAATTCGTTATCACAAATATTAACTATTCTATTTGTAGAATTCTCGTTTTTAGAAGCTCTACTGTCTGTTTACCAACTGCCTACGTCATTCTGACCCGCTGCTTTACAGTTAGTTAGCTTTTTTTTAGGCGCGCACCTGGGAGACTGACGTCGGCAGCTCTGTCTGGAAAGTTGAGAGTTGAATGCACGTCGTCGTTGTACGCTAATGTTGCAATTGCTTTGTCACGGCTGTCCCAGCCTTTATTTATTTATTTTTTATTTTTGTAATTTAATGACAAGGACATTGACTAATTGCATTGACATTACTTTGTCTCCCTCACTCGCAGTTGCGTTTGTGCGAAATTTCATTTTCTTTTTATAGCCTTTTACTTTGCGACGGCCATAAACAACAAACTGGCATAAAAAAAAAAACAAAAAAATATTGTCCCCCATCGTGTGTTTGTTGGTGTGAGTGGGTGAGTGCGTGTGAATGAAATTCGTAGAGAAAGAGCGAGCGACATGACACAAAAAGAGAGAGCATTTGTTGTTACCGTGGGCTGCTGCTTCCTCTTCTTCCCCACTTTGCCACTCTGCTACTGTTATTTCTTATTGTTGTAGGTGAAAATGGCAACGCCGCAAATCTTAGCACGTACAGTGGAACAAAAATGAGATATTTGAGAAGTTCTTCAAAAGAAGGTTTCTTAAAACTCAGGCTTTAATTTAAAAAAAAAATAATTAATTAAGGAAAATTGATAAATTTTATTTTTTAGTATAAATAGGTCTTTAATTTCCATAGTGCAAGTGGAATTAAGGGCTTAGGCTTTTTTTTTTGGCTAATAAGCCTGCCTAGACGTCATCTATCTAAATGGCAGACTTACCTACGCCGGAGAATTGTAGCCCCCCCACATACACCCTCCCCCTCCCCCTCTCACGCTACTTGTTGTCATTGTGCTAAAAAAAAAAGCGTTGTATTCGATTCTGTGTGATTTTACCTTAAACAGCTGTCACCCGTGCACTTGTATGTGTGTGCTCCACAATTGGAGCCAATAATTACGTGCTGTTGCTCTCTCGCGTACTAAGAGAACATGTATTCTGACTCTCTCTATCTCTCTGAGCGGACTTGTGTTGAAACTGGTTTGCAGGCGAGCTTAATTACAATGCGTTTTCTTGCTCATTCATCTTGCTGTTGTTTTTGTTATTACTTTTGCAAACTTTTGCATTCGTGTTTTTTACCTGCTTTTGTCTTTGTTTTTGGTTTTGCGTTTTGTTTTTGTATTTGCGCTTACCAAATCATTATTTCTGTGTGCGAGCGCGCAGATTATTGACCTTGATTAAGCATTTGTTGCTACTACTACTACTGGCTCGTTGGTATATACTATGTTTTTTTTTTGTTGTAAGTGACACGCAAATGCAGAATGTAAAAAAGGTCTCTCTTTATAAATTTTTGTAAAGGTTTATCTCAGAAAATATGAAACAAGAGAGGGAGCCTTTCGTTTTGGGGCTGTTCTGGCCAAACTTTTACCTAAAATAGCATTATTGTTGTTTTTTAGGCCACAAACAACAAACGGCCAGAAGAAGAATAAGAGTGACTGAGCGAGTGCACGCCTAGCGGCACTTTAGCTCCCAAACAACCACCCCCTTTGGCCCCAAACCCCTCTTTCTCGCTCCCACACTCGCTGGTTTGACGAGAGACTGGCCTGCCACCGCTCTCTTTTTTTTGAGCGCAAGAGAGCCAACAGCAGCAACATGTGCACAAACCACACGTGCTAAAAAAATACACCCACACACGCAGACAGGGGCTTGCGGGTATATGTGTATCTGTGTGTTTGTGGAATTCGCATTGAGAAAATCGCCGTCGATTCCGATTCTTCGATTCTCCGATTCCGATTCCTGTATAAGGATAAGGATAGGATTTAATGGAAAAAAGGGAGGGTAGAAAAAGGAATAATATTAATTTCAATAATTAATATGTAAATAACTATAATTTAAGGATAAACCCTAAGGAAGGTCTACCCTTTCATAGTCCTTTTCAACCTTATCTCTTCTCTAGAATCTCTTCACTTCTCTTAACAAAAACCGTTAGGTTAATCGCTAATAGATCAGGGATTTAGAAACTCTCTTTCAAAAAAAGGGTTCTAGATAAATCTGAAAGATCTTTATTTCAAAAATTCCTCCCCTTTCCTCCCCTCTTCATCACGATTCTTTTGTTTGTTTGCTGAGAGCGGTTGAAGCTGTGTTTTTGTTTTTTTTTTGTGATTTTGTTGGCCTACCCTTACGGGCTTTTTTGCCTTTTGGCGAGCTTTGAACTTTTCGGCGTGCCTGTGTGTGTGTGAGTGTGACCTCTGAGCAACAGAATACGGATAAAGAGGAGAGGTAGAGAATGAAGAGACCCGAAGCCGGCTTGCAGGATGGCCGATGTAGGACTGATAATAGTGGTAGGCTGTCCGGTAGGAGGTGGAATGGGGGCATTTACCATTTTTCGCCAGACTCTCTCACGCAAACCCACACACACTCACACACAGACACATTCTCGTAAAATCGTACGTTGCCCTTTGACGTGTGTATGAGTGTGGGATATATCGGCGAAAAAGTGGTACGCTGATCTCATGTAAAGTAACCAAAATTAGTAGCAGGCTTGCGAAACAAACAGTTATGTTGGAAATACTCGTTGCTTTGCTTCGTCACTGCTTAGTTGCTTTGTTTGTTATTTATTATGTTGTTTTACGTAATTATCTTTGCAACAATTTGTGGGGGGCCCAGCAGAGAAAACAAAGCGGCACGAAAGCAGTGCCGAGTAAGCAGTATCTCTTGTAAGTGCGTGAGAGAGAGCCATGTGTGTGTGTCGGTGTGTTTGTGCTTGTGTGGGTGGTGGATGCTTGGAATTTTCCAAAAATTTCTAGACTGTCCTTTTTCTTTCACCAATTTCCCCCCCCTGCTTCCTCTATGCTTTCTTTCTGCTTCTTCCTGCTTCCATTTCATTACACACTCTCTCTCTCTCTCTCTTCCTTGCTGCAGTTTTTTGTCTTCAAGTGTCTGCACTTCCGCTTGGGATTTGTGTTTTGTTGCCTGGCGGCTTTTTCTCCCCTGTCCCCTCCCCTTTGGGTTTTGGATTTTTCTTTTCTTCTCACGTTTCTGTGCCTTTTTGGAATGCATTTACATATTTTTTTTCTGCTCTCCTCCACATATCTTTATCGCTTACATATCATAGCACTAATCCGGCTCTTTCGCCTCCACCTTTCTCTTTCTTCTTACTAGTCCTGTCTCGCTCTAAGTTTGTTTGTCGTTTTAAATGCGCGCGTCGCACAAAAAAAAAGAAGAAAAACAAAAACAAATGCCTACGAAAACAAAACAAAAACATAAATAAATTGCCTTCATATTTTGTTGCTTTTTGTTTTTTTTGTTTTTCTCTCTAAGGCGTACGCGCGTCGTTGACTTTGGTGGGGTGGGTGAGAGAGAGAGAGAGAAAGGGGGGCTATTGTTTTGCGTTGTAGACGCCTCTCTGCTCGTTTGTTGCTCTTTTTGTTGTTGCTTGGAGGAGGATAGCTCATTGTTTTTGTTTTCTCTTTCTGCAGCGACAGGCATATTTTGGGTATTTTCCATTATAACACTTGGATAGTTTCCCCAAAATTGTTCCATTTAATATCAAGTATTATTTGAAGTCTATTATTTCATCATGTTGGAAAATAACAGCTATTATTTTTGTCATGGGGCATGTTTTGTCATGTTCTGGGAGGTCCTTGCTCAAGTATGCATGTTTCAAAATGTCTCCTAACCCTGAAAGAGTTAAATAATTCTTGTTATCGAATTTCTTAAAAACCCATTTTTTTAGGGTATTTTTCCATTATAACACTTGGATAGTTCCCCTAAAATGGTTTAATTTAATGGTACATGTCTTTGTACATATTTTGTCATGTCCTTGCTCAAGTTTTCATGTTTAAACATGTCCCCTAACCCTTAAAGAGCTAAATGATTCACTTTTTATGAAATATCTCAAATATCTCAACTGAAATTATGTATTCAAGATCAGTACTTATATCCCCATCCACCCCTATATCCTTTTTTTTTTTTAATCCCTAGTAATTTATCAACAAGGACGAACTTTCAACCCTTTAAGAGTATTGTCCTTTAGGATTGATTTATGGTTTCGAGTTCAGGGGTTATGCAAAACAATACTCCCTTAAATCATTTATAATTCATGTATCCTTTCTATTATCCTTTCCAGCCAACCAAGCTCTGTGGAATGGCACCTGGAAAGGAGCCCTCACCTACGAGTGCCGATCGCTGCTCTTCAAGGCTCTGCATAATCTCATGGAGAGGTAAAATATACAGTTATATTTTGAAGTATGATATTAAATAATTGTTATCCTTTTTAGATTTGTCCTGACCAAGGATATTGTGCGATTTGGGAAGTGGTTTGTGCAGCCCTGCACTTCCAGCGATCGTCTTTTTGGAAGAAGGTGGGTTTTCGGTTGCAAGAAGGATTTCAAGGATAAAGGTCCTTAAGTATGCATTGAGCCAAAAACCCTATACTCTTTGCATTTAGACCTTGTCCTAGACCAAAAATCAGGAACTCTGTGTAGTGGCATTGAAGCTAGTGACGCTACATCGTTCTTCCTGAAACATTTTCCAAACAAATCCTTAGACTTCCACTAGAAACTAACTAATTATTTAATATATCCTCTTGCAGCTCCCAGCATTTGTCGTTCTCATTCACGTTCTTTGTGCATGGGGACACCGTTTGTGCCTCCATCGATCTGCGAGAGCATCCCGCCGTGCGGCCGCTGACGAAGGAGCACCTGGCCGAGGCGGCGGCCGCCTTTGCTGCCGCCAGTGCCCCACCCGGATCGGGATCAGCCACCGCGCCAGGGGCAGCGGGTGGGGCGGCGGGTCCTAATCCACCCAGTCAAGACCCCAATGGAATGGAGGATTCGAGCGAGGGTGGTGGAGCTGCCAAGGCCACGCCACCGGCGCATCCGCGCAAGGTGATGTTAGCCCCGTTCGGAATCGCAGCCATTCTCACTGGCAACAGCTACAAGGCCAACGATCCTATGGCCGAGAAGATCCTCGAGGACTGGGCCTCGTTTTTTCCGCTGTGCAATAAGGACAACACGGACTTGCCTCCCGTCGTGGAGGTGGTGTCGGGTGAGTGATCAAGATATCCGCCATCTTGTGGAATCTATAACTAATGGAGGTACTTTCAGGTGGTCATAAGATGTATCATCCTACGAACTACGTACTAGTCACCGACCTGGACGACATGGAGCACATGGAACACATGGCCGAGATGCAGAAAATGCAGATGCATAACGCCGCTGGCCATGGTGGCTCCGAAGCAGCCGCTCTGGCTCACTCACTCTCCTGCCCACCAGTTGCCGGAGCAGCGGCTCCTGTTGCCGGCACGGCACCTGGTACGGCAGTGCCAGTGGGTCCTGCATCTGCCTCTGCCGGCAAGGAGGCATCCCGCAAGACGGCGCCCCAAGCGGTCAGCGCTCTGGAACGTCTCTCCTTCCAACCCTACTACGATCAACGGCCCACCTCGGGCTTCACCTTCAACACCAACAATACTCACATCCCGGCAACGGCGGCGGTGGAAATGCCGGAACGCACCTGGCAGGATTGCATCATGAATACCCTGCATGTGGATGCGGCTGCTGCGGCAGCATCGGCACGATCAGGAGCTGGATCAGATGCCACAGCCACGGGCGAGGAGGAGGACAACAAGCAACAGATCCAGCAGCAACTCCAACAGCAGCAACAGCAGCAGCAGCGCCACAAGCTCTGGAACTTTGTGGATCCCATGCAGAAGGCGCCCTGTACATGCACCAAGTAAGTCTCTGTGGGATTACAAGGATATGCTAAGAGTTATCCTCCAGCCTGGCTTTATCCTTGAAGAGTGTTATCTTATAGAGTTTTTAAAACTTAATCGTAGGTGTCTTTAGTTACAAGAAGTATCTTTATCTTCAAGATCTCTAGATACTATAGACACCTATGATATGGTTTTAAGGATTACCATATGGTCTTGTTTTTGTTTTCAACATTTTTTTGAACAGAAATCTGGCCCTATAGCCCTATAACCTGATTTTTTTCATAAAAGCTTTTTTGATATTTGATACTATATAGCTCTATAGCTCTAGAAGATGTTATATAATATAATATTATATACTCCTCTAGCCCCCAAAATTATAAAAATATTAAAAAGATAAAAAACCGCTTAAATGGCATGCCTTAAAAAATAAAAAATAAAAAAACTATACCTTACCTTAGTAAAGCAGTAGTAGGCCGTTATAAAGCAAGCAGTGCTGTGCCGTGGCACCTGCTATGCTGTAGTTGACCTTGTTTTTACCGTTATCTTCTGTGCATGCGATAGGCTGTAGATGTTTCTCCCCCAGCCCCCCCAGTTTTTTTTTTTTTGGTTCTTTTCGTGTTCTTTTTTTTGTTGAATTCTTAACCCCACACTGTGCAGCAGCAACAGAAAAAAAAAATAAAAACAGAAAAGGTACAAAAGCAAAACGTGAATAATTTGTGTTGCTTACGAGTGTGTTTAAAAAAAAAATACCAGAAAAAATACCAAAAAAAAACAACAATTTTCAGCGCCCAATGCAGCAGCCATCACAACAACAACAACAACAGTAGCAGCAGCAGCAACAACAACAACAACATTAAGAGGCAACAACAACCGCTGGGTTCACCAGCTCTCAGAACAGCTGTGGCCAATGTTAGTGGCAATAAGTCATCATCCTACCAGCAACATTACCACCAACAACAACACCAACACCTCCACCAGCAACTGCAACAGCGACCGGGAACACCTGTGTCGATGGCAGCAGTAGCAGCAGCCACATCATCGCATCATTCCAGTTCCAGTTCCAGTTCCCTGAGCAACACTTCCACTTCAAGCTCTTCCGCGTCAGCTATGCGGCGTCACAATGTGCCGTTCCACAAGCGTTTGTCTGCAACATCGGCAACTGCAACAGCAACATTTAGACCCAAAACCAACAATAACAACAACAACAACAACAACACTACAACAGACACCAATATACCAAAACAAAGGTTTGTGTTGCTGTGAGTGGAGTGGAGTGGCGTGTGTTCATTATAGCCAGTGCTGCCTATGTTTTAGTTTACCGCTATTCAGTTTTCTTTTTTGTTTCCAACTCCTACTACTACTCCTCCTACTCTTCTCTTCTTGATCTGCACAGAAAAATACGTTTTGAATCATGTCTAATCATGTCTCTTGAAGTCTCTTGATTACCAAAAGCTTCTCTTAAGAATAACACTTTTTCTGTGCACTTTCGCTCTTTCTCTTAATACTCTCTCCCCCCGCCATCTCTTACACGCTCTGTTAACTTTATGATTTCTTACGTTTCTTACTATTTTGTTGGTTTTTGAGCATTTTATTTGCCCTCTAACATAAAAATCACATGGATTCAAAGGGCGCATAATAATAATACCTCACCACGCCCCAAAAAAAAAAAAAACTAAAAAGGAGTCAGCACACACACACACACACTCACACACAAGAAAACAAACACCCAAGCAGCATATGTATTTCGCGGTCGGCATTTTGCAAAAAAAAATAACAATTCTCTAATTCTAATTCACTTATCGTTTTTTTTTTTGGTAAATGGTTAATTAGCAAAATTAATTAGTGAATTAAACGCAACGCTCAAACAACAACAACAACAGACTGCCAAGCAACAGCAACAAAATAACAAAAAAATTGTACAAAAAAAATATTCAGATGCAAGGACATCTTAGCTTAGTAACTACTGCCCTTCTCCCACCCACTCTCTCTCTCTTTAAATTTCTCCTCATTCATACTCTCATAGACCGTTATTTTTGGTTAGTACTTGAGATGCGGTAGTATCTCATGGATACTATCTTTGGTTTTGGTGCCGCGCATGCATCTTTGATTTTTGATTTCAAGGTTCAGTGCATTTTGTGGAATGATTTTGTTGTTTTTTCTGATGGATTTTGTAAATAACATCAATTAGAAATTGGTATTATTGTTTAAAATAGAGGTGTGATGACAGAAACACTTGGTATTTTATTGCAAAGTGATTAAATCATGTCGAAACATGTTTAATCATGACTAATCATGTCTTATCGTGTTTGATATTTTATTTTAAAATGATTTAATGATGTTGATTCATGTCTTATCATGTTTAATTGTGTTTAGTCATATTAAATCATATCTAAACATGTTTATTCATGTCTAATCATATTTGATATTGAATTATTACATGTCCAAACATGTTTAGTCATGTCTAATTATGTCCAAACATGTTAATTCATGTCTAGTCATGTTTAGTTATGTTCAATCATGTCCAATCATATTTAAAAAATACCAAAATGTACATATTTTTATAAATATTTCTACAAATATGCTTTCCTGATGAAGCTAACACCCATTTTATGAAACCCTAGCCTTGAAAAGGGGTTTCCCCAATTAATATTTATTTTAAACATGTTTATTTTTGCAGCTTTAATGGTTTTGTTTAATCTAATTAAATATTAAACAATGGATGTGGATTTGTTTTAGTTTGCTTACTTTTTTTTTTAGGGCACTGACTCACCGAGTGTCTCTAAAATATATGATTTATACTCTCAAATGATTAATATCCATAGCTACATACCATTATCCGTAGTTTGAACATTGTACATAACCTTTATTTTAAAAATAAACAATGAACTTTAATATAAAATATGGAAAATTAACTAAAAATATTGAATCTTCATCTTCTCCGACAGACATCTGGGAAATACACCTCACGGAACGCCACATGGTGGAGCTTCGACGTATTCTCGGAATTCCCTGGGCGGTGACTCCTCGATGCCAGTGGCCTCCGTGGAGTCGCCGGCCACACCGGCACCCTCGCCGCATCCGAACTCGGCGCACTCGCAACCGACCTCGGTGCCACCTCCGGAGCAAGTAAGTAACCAGGAAATAGTACTTTCCTTCATAATATTTTACTAAAACTGTTTCCACGTCTAGATGCTCAACATGAGTCCAAATGCACCCACTTCTGTTTCGAATCTGCAGCAGCCACCGACGCCCATCGACCACCTGCTGGACAAGAACACCCCGGCGCCCACGCCCACGGACCAGCACGACAGCAAGAGCATCACCGCCTCGCCCTACGTGCACCAGACGCCCAGCGTGGAGCCGCCCTCCTACACGGACCACGCGTCAGGTGGCGGAACCGCAGGAAGTGGGTCAGGCGGAGGGGCAGCTGGTACAGGACCCGGCAGTGTGCCTGCCCAGCAGCCGGCTACACCGACAGTAGGGGGCGGAGCAGCTGCAGTTCCATCGGCGGGTGCTGGATCAGCGTCCGGTGGGGCAGGAGGTGTGGGCACCATCAGCGTGAAGAAGCTGGAGATGCAGCAGAAGCAGCAACAGCCGCCTCTGTCGGCGGCGATGGCCATCAAACAGGAGCCGGGATTGGCGGCGGAGCGAGGCGTCGGAGGGGCTAGTGGAGGCGGTACCAGCTCCACCGCGGAAGCCATCCAGAACTTGCTGAGCCTGTACAAGCCGCCGCAGCTGACGCTCAAGGACGAGGACAGCTACTACGACGAGGACTGGCTGAAGGAGCTCTACAACTTTCAGGTCCAGGAGAACTGGTGAGTTTTGTCGTAAAGGAAGCTTCAAAGTAGTGGATCTTCCAAGTACTAATTGATGATGTTTTCCCATAGGGACTACCTGCCCGTGAAGCGTCCAAAGCTGGAGGATTCCAACAAGCAGCGCCGGCCGCGGTATGCCAAGGACCTGTACGAGGGGCATACCCACGTGAAGCCGCTGATGCCTTCGCCCGGATCCGTGTATGGCTCCCAGTTGCTCTCCCTGGAAGTCCAATCCAATTCGGCGGGAGGAGGAGCAGGCAGTGGGACCGGTGGTTCCAGTGGCGGGTTGGTGGGAATCGCCAACAGCAATGCCAACGGAAGTGATGCCGAAAACGAGAGCGGGAACAGCTTTTTTCAAGGGCTGGACATCAAGACGGAGCCAGGACTCCATTCGCCCACGAAAACGTCCAGCGGCGGAGGAGGCGGCAGTGGCGGCGGTGGGAGTGGCGGCAACTTGTTCACGGCCGAGGGCCTGAACCCGTCGCTGAACGACCTGGAGCAGCTGTTCGAGACGAGTTCGAACGACGAGTGCAGCAGCGTCCAGATCCATACGCCGCCGGACTCCAACAATCCCTCCAACGGGGGCTGCAGCACGGTCACGAATACGATCGATGAACTGAAGCGGAGCACGGCGATCTCGACGAACGCCCTGGTGGCAGCGGCGGCTGCGGCCGCGGCGGGCAACATCCAGGCGGAGGACCTCACCAAGATGTTTCCGACGCCGCCGTCCCACGAGCAACAGCACCCCAACTCCAGTCCCTGCCAAACGGATGTGGTGATGACGGATCTCAGCGTGGACACGAGCACCAGCTGCATCAGCAGCAGTGCCTGCATAACCAGTAGCAACACCACCATTGTCAGCAACAGCAATGTCACCATCAACTCCACCACCACCACCAGCAGTATTATCCTGGCGGCCATCCAAGCGCCCGTCGCGGTGGTGAACGTCAATGTCACCAAGCTGGTGAAGCAAGAGTACAACCTGGAGCTGGGCAGTCCCGTGGAAGAGGCTATCGATAACTGGAACTACGTCTACCGGCCGCCCCAGCAGGAGAAGTTCGTTGGCGCCTCCAAGTATGCTCCTTTAACGAACCTGCCCAGCCAAGCCCTTCCGCCTCTGAACATACCAGCGGGATGCTTCTACCAGCCCACCTGGAGCAGTCACAAGTCCAGGGCAGCGACCTTGGCCAAGGCGGCGGCGGCGCAGAAGCAGCAGCACCAGAAACATCAGGCCCTCCAGCAACGCATCCAGCTGCATCAGCAGAAGCTCCAGCAGCACCAGCACCAGAACCACCAACAGCAGCAGCAACAGCAGCAGAAGCACCAGCACCAGCAGCTGCACGAACTACTGTCGGCGGCTCCGAGGACTCCGATGACGCCCACGGTGCCCCAGCCCCTGAGCAGCGGTGGCAGCCAGCTGCTGCTCAACCAGCTGAACTGCCCGCAGGCGCCGCCCGGCAGCTCCATGCAGCAGATGATGCGGGCGGGCATGTCGCCAATTTCCCCGGGACCCGGCGTGGTGCCCTTCCCCCGCAGCAGTCCGATGATGCGACAGACGCCCACACACCCGCCGCCTCCATATCCCTACGAACTGGCGGTGGCCAGTCCCGCCACCTCCACGTCCTCGTACTTGAATCGTCCCCTCCACTCCCATGAGCACCAGGGCATGGGCGGTGGCGGAATGGGAGCCGCCGGAATGGGCGCCCCAGGTGGTGGCATGAGCATGATGCCTTATACTGGCGATGCTGGCATTTCCAGTGGCAACTCAGCCGCGGCCGTGGCCTCCAGCCTGCTCCAGGAGCTGCCCGAGGTGAACTCCGTGCTGGTGAACATCCTGCTCTACGACACCGCGTTGAACGTCTTCCGGGATCACAATTTCGACAGCAGCAGTGTGTGTGTGTGCAATGCGGATACGCAGAAGATTGGCAACATCCGGGGCGCAGATTCGGGTGTCTATGTTCCCCTGCCCGGCGCCAGCTTTAATCCGTTTCCGGCGGGCGGAGGACAGCGCCTCCTCAATGGTCCGGCTGCCTCGTTTGGCGGCCTGCGGATGATCAGTGCCTTTGGAGGCTCACCCGCCTCCGCTTCGATGCCCGGAGCTGGCTCCGGACACGGTCACGGGCCGAACGGTGGCTCGAATTCGTCCTCCTGCACGCCGCCCAGCAGCAATCCCCACATCACCGGCTACGTGGACGACGATCCCGTCGACTGCACCTGTGGCTTCAGTGCGGTGGTCAACCGGAGGCTCTCGCACCGAGCCGGCTTGTTCTACGAGGATGAGGTGGAGATCACGGGCATAGCCGATGACCCGGGACGGAACAAGCAGCCCACCCTGCTCAGTATCATCCAAAGCCTGTGCCGGAAGAATCAAATCAAACAGGCGCCGGGAGAAACGAGCTCTGCCCTGGACAAGGCAGGATCGGGCGGAGGAGCTGGGGCCACGGCCGGACAACTGGAGCACCTGGCCCACGCCATCTTCGACCTGCTGCTGGACCAGTGCTCGATTATCCAGACGTCGAGCAGCTCGGTGCACCGTGCCCTGCAGTCCCATCGCCGACGGATGTCCCGGCACAGGAGGATCTTCGGCACGAATGGAGCACCCACCGCCTCGAGGGCGTCGATAGCCAACGTCCTGGAGTTCATAGACGCCCATGACGTGGTTAGCCTGGCGCTAGAGCAGGCACGACTGGCGTTCGAGAACAACATGAACAACATGGACTTCCACGGCAACGGGAGCAGCACATTCCAGGCATTCCACGCCCCACCGCCCGCCCTACGCCACAAGCTGGCGGGGATTGGCGGCGGCCGGCTGACGGTGCACAAGTGGCCTTACCTGCCAGTCGGCTTCACGAGGAGCAACAAGGAGATTGTGCGAACCATGAACGCGATCCAGCCGATGCTGCAGAGTGCCTTCCACTGCAAGTCGCGGGGTGGAGCCGCCGGCTCGAAGGACGCCAGCTCCTACAACACGGTCAGTGGTCCGCTGACGTGGCGGCAGTTCCACCGGCTGGCGGGTCGCGCCTCCGGGCAGTGTGAACCGCAGCCGATTCCCTCGGTGATCGTCGGCTACGAAAAGGATTGGATTTCCGTGGCGCCCCACTCCATTCACTACTGGGACAAGTTCCTCCTGGAGCCCTACTCCTACGCCCGGGACGTGGTCTACGTGGTGGTGTGTCCGGACAACGATCATGTGGCCAACTCCACGCGGACCTACTTCCGTGAGCTGAGCAGCACCTACGAGATGTGCAAGCTGGGCCGGCACACGCCGATCCGGGGCTGGGACGGAATCCTCCAGGTGGGCGCTGCTAGAAACGCCGCCGCCGCAGACCGGGAAACGACTCCCTTGGACGAGTGGCTGCGGACTCTGGAGCACGCCGCCCTGGCCGAGCAGATCCGCCGATACGCGGTGGCCTTCATCCACCAGTTGGCTCCCTATCTGAGTCGAGTGCCCAACGACAAGACGCTCCTCAATCCCCCGGATGGTACTGGCAACTCTGGCAACACCAAGGGTGGCAGCTCCTCCACGCCCAACTTGTCTACGGCGACGGGCTTGCCTGGCGGAGATTTGTCCACCGACAACATCAAGCTGGAACCGGGAACCGAGCCCGCGCCAGTGGAAGCCAACGTGGAGGTGAAACAGGAGCCGGGAACGGGAAAACCGGGAGCGGCAGGAGCCGACACGAAACCGGCTCTGATCCTGGGCGATCCTCTGGGCGTGGGCGAGACCCTGGAGGACATCAACCCGCCAGCCATCGTCCTCTATGTGGTGAACCCCTTCACCTTTGGCTCCGACAGCTGCGAACTGGAGCGTCTGGCTCTGATCGCCCTGCTGCGGTGCTACGCGGAGCTGCTGAAGGCCGTGCCCGACTCCGTGCGCTCCCAGATGAACATCCAGATCATATCGCTGGAGTCCGTGATGGAGCTGGGACCGTGTGGCAACCGCAAACGCTTCTCGGACGAGATCAAGTGCCTGGCCCTGAATATATTCTCGCAGTGCCGACGCCACCTGGTTCACGCGCAGTCGGTGAAGAGTCTGACGGGCTTTGGCACGGCCGCCAACATGGAGGCATTCCTGAAGACCAAGGACGAACCGAATCGCAGGGCCTACAAGATGTACACCGCTCCGTTCGTTCTGGCGCCGATGCACGAGCGGAACGACAAGACGGACTTCTCCCGATCGGCGGGCAGCATGCACGGCCAGAACGAGCATCGCTACTCGGTGATGTACTGCAACTACTGCCTCAGCGAGGATCAGGCCTGGCTCCTGGCCACGGCCACCGACGAGCGGGGCGAGCTCCTGGAGAAGATCTGCATCAACATCGATGTGCCGAACAGGGCGAGGAGGCGAAAGGCACCGGCACGCTATGTGGCGTTGAAGAAACTGATGGACTTCATCATGGGCCTCATTTCGCAGACGTCCCAGATGTGGCGATTGGTGATCGGACGCATTGGGAGGATCGGGCACAGTGAGCTGAAGTCCTGGAGCTATTTGCTGAGCAAACAGCAGCTGCAGAAGGCCTCCAAGCAGTTCAAGGACATGTGCAAGCAGTGCACCCTCATGTATCCACCGACGATCCTGAGTGCCTGCCTGGTGACCCTCGAGCCGGATGCCAAGCTGCGCGTAATGCCCGACCAGTTTACGCCGGACGAGCGCTTCTCCCAGATCTCCATGCAGAATCCGCTCTCAACGCCGCAGGATGTAACCTGCACCCACATCCTGGTGTTTCCCACAAGCGCCGTATGTGCGGTAGGTTTCTTAATATTATTTTTAATTTAAAATTAAGATTTAATTATTAAATTTTTGCGTTTTTTAGCCCTTTACGAGGCAGTTCCAGAACGAACCGCCGGTGGAGGACGACTTCCCCAACTTCGAAGAGGACGACAACGAGGACTTCTGCGAAGCGGACATGAACGATCTCTTCTGGGACAGTGAGTATTTATTGGTTTCCTTCCAATCGATGCTCAGTTGCTAATCTCTGACCTCCAACCTTCCAGGTCACTTGGACAAAACCTCGAATCACGGCAGTCCCGGACGCATGGATGACAATCGCAGCTGGCAGAGCGCCGGCGGCAACAACTTCAAGTGCACGCCGCCCCAGGAAGTGGAGGAGGTATGTGGAAATGTCCCTCTTCAAATTCCATTAAGGATTTCAAATATACTTGTGTCTTTTTTAGGTTGGATCACTTAACCAGCAACCGATATCCGTCGGATATATGGTATCGACGGCGCCTACGGGCCGGATGCCCGCCTGGTTTTGGTCAGCCTGTCCGCATCTGGAGGACGTGTGCCCAGTGTTCCTGAAGACCGCTCTCCACCTGCATGTGCCCAGCATTCAGACCACCGACGACATCCTTAACTCGACCAACGCCCATCAGTCGGCCAACGACCATCCGCTGGACTCGATCTTGACGGCGGATGTGCTACGTTTCGTCCTCGAGGGATATAATGCCCTATCGTGGCTGGCCCTCGACTCCAATACTCACGATCGCCTCTCGTGCCTGCCGATCAACGTCCAGACACTGATGGATCTGTACTATCTGACGGCTGCCATAGCCTAAGGATCTCGTCAGGATCTCGTTAGGATCTCGTCAGGATCTCATTCAAAATCCAATCAATCAAACGCAGTCGCATGCTTCCGATGCTTCCGGCAGAACTTCCACTAGCTATATCAAAACTCAAACCCAAACACTAAACAGGAACTACATATATTATAGATATATAGAACCGAATCAACACCAAGCAACCAAGAATCGAAGTTAACAAAATCCAAAAAAAAAGCATAAAAAACTATATTAAAAAAATAGGAAACAAAACCAATAGGAAGAACACCAAGAACAACAGCAATAGCAGGAGTAAAACGAAACATCAACGCACAGATTACTTAGTATAATGATTTAAAACTAAAGCAGAACTAAAGAAAAGCTAAGCCAGAGAGGGGTGGGCGGCGGAGATAACTTTTATCGTTTATCGATAAACAACAGCATTACTATTTATTAACTGTCGAGGATTTAAAAAAAACAAAAAGTGTCAAGTGCAAGAATTGTTTGTTTTAACTTTTATTTTTTTATACCATTTATACATAGGCTGGCGTTCGATTTAGTGTTTAATATTTATACATATACAAAATGATGATAGGATGAGATAGAGAACGAATGAGTGTAATAGCAAAAGAAAGTTAAAAAAAAAAAGCAAAACAAACAAAACAAATCACACACACACACACACGTTTAGGCATATATTATATTATATACATATAGAGCATATACAATACGCAACATATATAGGCTAAGTATGAAAGTTTGTACATATTTACAACCAATTAATTAAGCAGAAACGGCAACAAAGCAAAAACAGAAAGTGTAATTATACAATTAGTGTTAGTTTACAACCAATTGGAGGATGGAGGATGAAGAGTCTAACAAGAGACGGAGGCCCTATTTAAATCTAATAAATTAAATCAATAAAATGTGTAAATTTTTTGTGCAAAGCGAGAGTTAGTTTAAATTTAAATTATATACAAAAAGAGAAATTGTAAAAAATCAGCTCCTATCCACACCAACCCTACATATACCCCACAAACATATATAAATAACTGAAAACGGTATACTGTAAATTGCATATAAAAAAAAAACATTTAAAAAAAAACTATATATATCTGGACGCAAAGCGCAGATCAAGAATGGGAGGAGTAGACACTTAGGAGTAGTAGAGTTTTAGGAAGAGCGTTAGGAACAGTTTTTTAAAAAATTATTTGTGTATTTCATGTGTTGTTTCGTTTTGTTTGTTGTCTTGTATTATTGTCTTGTAATTGTAGGGCAACTTTTTTGTACTTCACTGGAGGAACACACACACACACAACTCTCACACACGACCCACACTCACATAGCCAATTGTCTAATTATGAAATACTTAAACGAAAATATGTACAAATTAATAATTAAAAAAAATGTAACAAACAACGGGAAAGCTTTCTACACTCACCAATCAACCAACCAATCAACCAATCAATCAACCAATCAACACACAACAACAAACAATTGATTTTGCACGTTAAAACGATTTTCGCTAGGCTTAAGTTTAAAACAAAAACAAAAAACATAAAAACAGCGTTAAGTAAACAACAACAACAAAAAAATGAAAACAATTATTAAACAATGAAATTATTTTTACCTGTGTATTTTAATTAGCATAAATTGTGTAAACAAACCACAAATACAAGAAACTAAAATCTACGATTACAAAGACGTTTTCTAGTAATTATTCTCACACACATACACATACACACCAGCCCTCCCCCCAAAAAAACCCCCAAACACACACATGCATATCTTTTAAGTAGTTTCGATTTCATTTAGTATTTTATTTTTTTGTGTAATAAACCGACATTATTTGCAAACCTTTTCTGGTTTTTTATTTTTATTCATTCCGTATCCTAAACGCTCAGAAGATATATGTATGTATATATATCCACGATCCCACGCCACGTAGACCATCCATATCTCTATCGCTCTATATAATCGTTGCGAAAAGTGCACGCTGCTGTATATACGGAACCGCTTACAATCATTATCTATTCGATCGATATTCGATATTATTATTATGATTATTATTATTATTACTATTATGGGCTTGCAGAGTTTTTCCTAGCTAAGGTTTCAGTTGCCACACACACACACACTCTCTCTCATTCATTTTTCCCGAGATTTTCCAAGCTCGGGCGCCAATAAAAGCAAATATTTATAGCAATAATTAAGTGTAAAGCACAACAAAACAGAAATTTTCAAAAATCAAGAATGTTTAAAAAAAAACTCAAAACATTTACCGCAACAATTGACAACAAGCATTGATAGAAAAAAAACAATTTAAAAAATTAAAAAAAAAAATACCAAAAAGAAAATTGAAAAAAAATAAAGAAACATATATATGGATTAAAAACCAAAATGGAGGGAACAGTTTTTTAATAAGCAAACTCGATTTACGAGTTGAAAAAATTTTCTAAATAAAGTTTAGCCTAAACTAAGGGAAATCCACAATTAACTGGGATTCGAGAGTTAGGAGAGCCGAGCAACTAAAAGTTATACACGTTCATTGTAAAGTTAGTTAAGCTTGACAACTAATTAAAATTAATAATTATTGAAAGAAAAAAAATAAAAAACCGAGAATACAAACAAAAAAGTGCATTAAGCGTTGAGGAGGAAACCATTACTAGCCTAGCCTAAAAACAACAAAAAAAAGTATGCAATTATTAAGTTAAAAAATCGAGAATAGGATTTTTGTTCGAAAATGGCTCAAAAAAGGCATACCGCTGTGGCCAAACTTCAAAAGATTTCAACTTAGCGAACATGTAAATACGGTTTAGGTAAAAAATTTTCACAAAATTATAAGATTTTACATATATTTGGCAAACGATTCGGCTCCACTGAGAGAAACAAATAAGGCAAAACACAAGTAAGAAGAAACATTTGTTTTTAAAACAAATGATCGCATGTTATAGACACCATACACTATATGATATATGTACACACGATTCCGAGATTGGGTACGACGAGAACACGAATGTCAAAATCTAGCTACAGAATTGCATATTATATATATATATACAATTAAATATATTATATAAAGGGCAAAAACAAAATGTTGTTGTAGTGAAATTACAATTAAGTTTTGTTTTGCTACAAGAGTCAGAAACCAAAACAAACACGAGCAACAAATCGATGAGCAAATAGCAAAGGTCAAAAATGGGTCAAATTTTAACAAAAAACATAAAAAACTTAAACCATAAAAATGGAAAAACCAAGAGACAAAATGACAAAACAAATTGCAATTTTTGTAATTTCTTTACAGATTATAGATTTGTTTTTTCGGCAAGCACGCGATAACAAATACAAACTAAAAAAAGAAAAAGATTTCAAATAAAACTAACATCAAACTCAATACCAAGCATTTCTTTAATTATATGGAATATGATATATGAAATATGGAAATACATATGTAAGGTTCTCTTGCAATATTTAGGGATATACAGATGGATATGTAGATGGAATAACAAAACAAAATGGCCATTCGTTCTAGGCTCTATCGTTCTATCGAATACATATGGTTTCTAGCCTTCCTAAGCTTCTGTGGAGTTGGGGTATGGGGTATGATTATTTTCCATATTTCTTTTCTTTTTTAAAAGTTTTCCCTAAAACATTTTAATCATTACGGCGTCTTCCATGCATATGTGGCATTGGTTTTTAATTATATGGAATATGATATATGAAATATGGAAATACATATGTAAGGTTCTCTTGCAATATTTAGGGATATGGGTGGAATAACAAAACAAAAAGGCCCATTCGTTCTAGGCTCTTTAAATAGGTTCTAGGTTTCTAAATAATAATCAGCCCTTCCTTGGCTTCTGTGGAGTGTGGAGTATGTATGTTTTCCATATTTCTTTTCTTTTTTGAAAGCTTTCCCTTTAAATTCTAATTAATACGGCGACTTCCATACGCAAATGGCATTGGCGGATTTGTAAACATCGTTGACATCGTACGACGTCCAATCGCATGGTAGTACTCTAGTATTTTTCTTTCAAAAAGCTCACCGCCAATATGGACACTTTGGCCCCAGGCCTCTCTCAATATTTCGAGATCGTAGGAAGTGGTAATCTGAGGCAAATTGACTAGAAAAAAAGGATTTTATATAAAAAGTATCTATGGATGTCATGGGTAAACTTACGGACAACCATTTCCTTCACCTCCCATTCGGCGTCATAACGCTTGCGGAGAAAATTCAGCATTTCTAGCAACTTCTGGGTCGTTAGACTCCTTCTGATAGTGTAGTCCTCGAAATGGTCATCAAGCATCCAGAGGGTCATGCGTCTTTGGATCTCGGTTGCCTTGTCCCTGATATCGGTCAACAATTTCAAGGTGTTTTGCATCATTTTAAGTGGAACATCCAAGCGTTGGTACAACAGACGGATGCGCCTCTCCATGGTGCGCAGCTCCCTTGGACGCTGAATGTCATCCAACTGATTTTCGCCGGAAAAGATCCGGGAGTATACGCTCTCAATATGCTGTAGCATCACCTTGCCGCGATGGACATGATGCTGCCATTCCTCAACTAGGATCCACACATCGTTGGCCATGCTCTTCATATCAAGCTTCATTCTGGCTATAGTGGGATGCATTTTCGCAAATTATGAAAATACGCGGTGCAACTTAAAATTTTACTGCAAGCTCGTAAAAAAAAACGGTGTTGGAAAACGACTATAGGCAAGCTAATACGTTACAAAGCACGAGGCAAAGCCCATTAGACACAAAAGTCGAAACGTACTATAGAGCCCTTATTTCTCTATTAGCACATCGGGTTATACGATGATTATCAGCAAAGAAATCCCATCTCTGGTATCCCTTAGAGCCATCCATGCATTCTTTAACTATTTTGAATTTTGAATCTTCAGAAAATTTGACAAAAGACCAAAATATGTTTATCCCAGATTTTGGCGCCGATATTTGGAGAATAGATATACGAATTGTTTTGGGTACTTCGTTATATGACTATTGGAGAGATATCGCCATATAGATATCGATATAGCCATATTTTCCCCATCATGGATTTTCAGATTTTGAAAGGGGACCCCCTAGAAAATTTGACAAACAATCTAAAAAATATTTCGTTTCCAGATTTTGATGCAGATTTATGGAGGATCGATCTACCATTAGTTTAAGGTATTCCGCTCAAGAATCGGATGACTATTAGCAAAGATATGGCGATCGCAGTGGGTCCAGGGCTCCCCCTTATGGCTTTTCAGATTTTGAAAGGGGACCCCCTAGAAAATTTGACAAAAAATCTAAAAAATATTTCGTTGACAGATTTTGATGCAGATTTATAGAGGATCAATCAACTATTAGTTTAAGATATTTCGCTCAAGAATCGGATGACTATTGACCAATATATGACTATCGCGGTGGGTCCTGCACTCCCCTTCATGGCTTTTCAGATTTTGAAAGGGGACCCCCTAGAAAATTTGACAAAAAATCTAAAAAATATTTCGTTGCCAGATTTTGATGTAGATTTATAGAGGATCGATCAACTATAAGTTTAAGATATTCCGCTCAAGAATGGAATGACTATTGGCAAAGATATGGCGATCGCGGTGGGTCCAGCGCTCCCCCTTATGGATTTTCAGATTTGGAAAGGGGACCCCCTAGAAAATTTCACAAAAAATCTAAAAAATATTTCGTTTCCAGATTTTGATGCAGATTTATGGAGGATCGATCTACCATTAGTTTAAGGTATTCCGCTCAAGAATCGGATGACTATTAGCAAAGATATGGCGATCGCAGTGGGTCTAGGGCTCCCCTTCATGGCTTTTCAGATTTTGAAGGGGACCCCCTAGAAAATTTGACAAAAAATCTAAAAAATATTTCGTTTCCAGATTTTGATGCAGATTTATGGAGGATCGATCTACCATTAGTTTAAGGTATTCCTCTCAAGAATCGGATGACTATTGGCTAAGATATGGCGATCGCAGTGGGTCCAGGGCTCCCCTTCATGGATTTTCAGATTTGGAAAGGGGACCCCCTAGAAAATTTGACAAAAAATCTAAAAAATATTTCGTTGCTAGATTTTGATGCAGATTTATGGAGGATCGATCAACTATTAGTTTAAGGTATTCCGCTCAAGAATCGGATGACTATTAGCAAAGATATGGCGATCGCAGTGGGTCTAGGGCTCCCCTTCATGGCTTTTCAGATTTTGAAGGGGACCCCCTAGAAAATTTGACAAAAAATCTAAAAAATATTTCGTTTCCAGATTTTGATGCAGATTTATGGAGGATCGATCTACCATTAGTTTAAGGTATTCCTCTCAAGAATCGGATGACTATTGGCTAAGATATGGCGATCGCAGTGGGTCCAGGGCTCCCCTTCATGGATTTTCAGATTTGGAAAGGGGACCCCCTAGAAAATTTGACAAAAAATCTAAAAAATATTTCGTTGCTAGATTTTGATGCAGATTTATGGAGGATCGATCAACTATTAGTTTAAGGTATTCCGCTCAAGAATCGGATGACTATTGGCAAAGATATGGCTTCCGAGGTGGGTCCTGTACTCCTTTTCATGGATTTTCAGATTTGGAAAGGAAACCCCCTAGAAAATTTGACAAAAAATTTAAAAAATACTTCGTTGCCAGATTTTAATGCAGATTTATGGAGGATCTATCCTTCTTTGTTTGTTTAGTTACAAATTATATTTTGCTGAATAATATGCGTTTATGTAGCTTCTATAGGACACCCAATTCTCTCCTCCAATACAGTGGGTAACTTGTCTTTAGTCTTTCAATGAACTGCCCATTTTCCCCGTGGTCGATTGCGTGCCAAATTGATCAAGTGGCCACGATTAGGAAGCCAACTAGCTTTGGTCGCATTAATTGCGATCATGTTGCCTCGCCCCCGATACTGGCTCCAGCCCCCCCGTTTTTTATACAATTAGCTGCGTGACGATGGGGAAAAACTAGGAAACGAATTGCAATCCGCTTTATTTTTGGGTCGCCTGCTGGTGGGGTTCAAGCTGGGAGTCAGGAGACGGAGATGGAGTTTCGGGATCTGGAGAATGGAGCTGCTGCTGTCAGGCGGCATGAATTACTGTGCGTTGATTGCCTTTAAGGCCTGATTGCAGTAACAACAAAAACAACTTTGCACAAATTGCTGTCCTCAGTCAAGTACACAGAAAGAAAAAAGCATAATAATATTTAAAACTATATATTTTTAAAAACTGTGTGGGTATATCCTGAAAACTTACTTAAAGTTTTATATAACTTCCTTTAGAATTTTTTGTAGTGTGGCATCTGTTCTTTTTGCGGCATGCGGCAAACTGGTTTTTGGAGGTTTCTTCCAGCCCCCAACCTCCAGTCCATTGCCAATCGGTTACCGCCTGCATTAATTATCAACAAATCATTTTTGCAGCAACGAAAGCCGCATTTATCAGCGATTATGCATGGACAAAGGAGCCATCGGATGCTCCTCCAGAAAGTGTCGCCCGACATGTGTTGCATGCCTCTTGTGGATGTGGAAGCCATGTGGATCTTGATGGCGATCTTGACGTGGAGCTGCACAAATTTGTCAGAAAGGAGAAGATGCCACACAGTCAGAAAATAGGAGCTCTATATAACCTCTATAGAGAACATTATCCTTTAACTTCTCAACCTCAACTTCTTAATTAATATTTTATTTTTAAAAATGTCCTTATAGTTCTATAATAATCGATGTATCACATAACAATCTTATCTTAGAATATACTAAGAATTTTATAATAAACAAGATACTTTAAGTATCATTCTAAGGATCTCAGAAAATGTATCTGAAAAGCAATAAACAAATGTTAAAATTTTTTAAAATTTTATAGAAAATATCCAAAAGCAAGGATATTCTACCCAAACATTTTTTTCGCAGTGGCTGGAAGGGTCTGTAAGATCAGGGTGTCGGCAACATGACATGGCATTGATAAGCTCTGAAGGAAAAAAAAAGAATCGGATCGAATTGAATCGAATCGTCGCCGCTGTAGCCTTGCAATTAAGATATTTTTATGTAAATTAATGGAAGCACAGAAAAGTCTGGAATTCTGGTGGAAGGCCGGGTGGACATGCGTGCAACTTACAAATAAGTACAACAAGGAGCACCCTCCGTCGATCGGGGAGTCCAATTGCGCATTTTTAATTGGAAAGCTCACTTGGAGAGGAAGAAGCCTCCGTCCAGCCGGGCAGTAAACAAAAAGTGACGCACCGAAAATTTATTGTTCCAAGGCAAAGAACCGATCCTCTAAGAACCAAAAGACGATCCGATCCAAGCAAACACTAAAAGGCAAAAAATAAAAACAGCAAATAAAAAAGACCGCAGGCCGCTGGCCGCGAAAAAAAAACAAAGACGATGGCCCCGGCACATTGTTCCTTGGTCTTCCGGACGATGATTCTTGGGTTCTTTATGCTCCTTGGAGCGCTCTTACTTAGGCATTTATGTCTGGCACTTGACACATTTTGTTATGGCATTTTTCAGCTACCGACTCGACTCGGTTGACCCAATCAAAATTCCTGGACCTTGCACTTGAATGCGTTTAATTTGTAAGGTTCGCCTTGGGTCGGCCAGCCAAGTGTTGAACTTTATGTTTCGAGTTCCCCAGAACGGGTTTAATCTTTTAAGGAGAAGGATTTAATTTGCTCTACATGTTGGGATACATATTTTAATATATTTTTAAGGTAATCCAACAACAAGATCTTTAGTTTTTCGATTTCCTCTGAAGCCCATAACTATACCCATTTCCGATTTGCAACCTGCAACGTAAAAGGTCCGCCCATCATTTCTGCATTATTAATTCCTTTTCTAGCGTAAGCCAACTTATTTGCCTGCTTATCTTGGCCAATATCCTTTTGGTCGGTGCTCAGTTAATGGCCATCTGCGGCCAACTATCTGGGGGAATGGTAGGGTGGTCAGACCAGATCTTAAGTCTTATACACAAAGAAAAAGGGTGAAGAAGATCAATATTATGGACAGATATTATAAGGTTTATGATTTAAAACTGGATAGAGTTCAGCCAATGATATAGTATGGGTGATTTTCATCTGAATTTATAAAGAAATTTAGTTACCATTTTCTCTCTGTGCACTTTCCACTGCAGCTGCTTTTGTGGCTGGTCAGTTTAGAGTTGTTCTGTTGCCGGTAGCGTTTTCCGATCGCCGGACAAGCAAAACGAGAGCAGAATGACTCTGGAGCCTAGTCCTAGCGGGGGGACAAGTTGATTTATTCTAATCTGTATAAGCGCTGCTATAATAAAGCAAAAGCGCCCACAGACTGGATCCACTGGGTGGACAATGCTCGCCTTGGGCCCTCGTCCCAATTGCTGATCGAATCGGCGGACGGGGGCCGGGACTGTAGGACTGGATTTTAGGTCCTCTCGGATCCAGTCCCCCAGTCTGGAACCAATTGTGCCCAGTTGATTCTGCATTGTAATTGGATTTGAGCCGCCGGTGAAGTCGCAGCTGCGGATTCTAATGACTCAGCAGCAGCTGAGCTGGCTGTTGGAGCTTGTGGGGATCCTGCACCGCATAACTCAGTCCCATTGTTCTTAATATTTGCCCGGGGACTCGGACTTGAGCCTTTCACCGGCTCTAATGCACTCGAAGCCAAGGAAATGAAGATGCATGCGCTAATTTATCGACTCCCAGCCAAGGCAGACATGCAAAATGTCGCCGGCCAAGAATGTTATCTACGCC